AATTGCTCCAATTGTGCACCCTGTACCACTGTACTACGAAACCATGTTTTGCCGAAAAGGCCAATGTTCGCGGGTGCCTACTGAATTAGCGTTTTGCACTAGGAAAACAAATCCTACATCAGAGGAAAGATAATGTTGTACAGGACAAGATGATATATAACACATAATTTTAGGAAGCTTGAACACGCCACAATCGCATTCGAAAACGTGCGGAAAGCGTCATATGTCATGGCCGCCGTGGGACCGTAGCCTTAAGCGCAAAAGAGGTATTCTACACACAAACAAAAAGGGGGTGTGGCCCTTACACCCCTCGTCACGTATAGACGCTTTACACACGCGCCAGGTTGAGCCCCCATTGCCGACCTTCTCCGGTCTTACCGAGATGCCGAGCCACTGAAGCGGACGTTGACGAGCCTCCACAGAGGCCTATGCTGGGGAGAAAGACACAGTAGCACTGAAAGTGGCAATAACCTGTCCTGCTGTGGCAATGGTAAAGTGAAGCGAGCGGAATCAGAAGAAACAAAAATTGAAGGTCGGTTATGGCGGCGCCCTTTCACAGCTGCCTGAAAGCGTATATACGACACCCCTAAATTTCAGTTGGGCGTACAACGCACTGACGTTCAATTAACGCTACCAACTTTCACGAGCAGCTTGATAGCCGAGTTGCACAACTTATCAAAATAACTTACGCAAGTGTAACTGAGTGTAAAAAAAATTATCGGGGTTTTCATGGCCCTACTACGAAACCTCCGTGTTTTCTTTCTCTACTCTTTGATGCGTACTTTAGCTGTTTAATATCCCATATCGCACCATCATCAAGCCTCTCGTAAAACTTGGGGCCTTCAACTTGATGTCAGTGTGCAGTGAACTAAAGTTTTGGGGTGTCGTATATGTGAAAAGGGGTGTAGGGGCTACACTTTTCTTTATAGAGTGTACGGCGACGCAGGCGAAAGCCAATCGAGATATGTGACAAGACTGTGTTTAAGAAAACGCTACGCGTACAAACTTTTGACGTTGTGAGTCCCGCAAGTGGCCGTACACACTTCCTGGTCCTCGCCGTACGAGGTCTTCACCAGATGCGACGCCTAGATGCCTTTGACAACTCTCAAAGTGGCCCATTCTGCTTGCTTCAGCGTACGGAAATCCCTAACCCGCTATTTTGACAGGTATAGCATGTGTACATTTTGCACGATGTCACGCGTCACCTCCGCGATTTCCTTAGCGGCGACAATCGCTGAATCAGTCTAGGATATTAAGTTCGTGAGGGGTCTGTGGTGTTTAAGAACGCCACCGGTGCGGTTCCAGTGCCCAGTGGTGGTAAGAATGCATCTTTCCGAAATGTACGGCTTCTTAGACAATTCGTGTAATTAGAAGCGATTGCTGAAGTCTACCCCCGCTCCGCCAGGGGCAAAAATCACATAGTGCAAATAAGGTATCTTCAACAACATACTCCTCTCTAGAAGAGAGTTTTAGTAGATAGTTCCGATACCTCCGACACCCCCGATAACGATACCGGGTAGTGATACGATGCATGCGCAAGGGCGGTCGCGCAATATCGGGTATCGTTATCGGCATCACCGGAAGGATCTAATAAAACTCTCATTTGCAATGGAAACTTTGAATTCATATGTAGCGGAGTATTCCTTCCATAGACATGGCTCACATAAATATTTTTTGGAAATATAAAAAATATGACCCAAGCTACCATCGCATGAACTGACGCCCTATTGAAAAATCAGGCAAAAATCTTCCCCAGACATTCGGTGGAAGCGGATTAATTTCGACTCAATTTCACAAGAAACCAGCGTAGTTTACCTGATTTTTGGTGGAAATATTACCGCCCGCCACTTTCAGTTACCATATTTCGCTGGACGTTTTACCGGAGCCACTTTCGGTTAAAATCCGACAAGAACTTCCGGTGACATTCGGTGGAAACGGGCTAATTTCCAGTCATTTTTACCAGAAACCAGCGTAGTTCACCAGACTATGGTGGAAATATTACCGGCAGCCACTTTCACTTGAAGTCTTACCGGAAACACTTTCGATTACCCGTCGCTGGAATCCTACCGGAAGTCACTGTTGTTTGCCGGACACCGAACTTCACTGGAAGCCTACGCAAGAGGAACGGCTAAAGGCAAGAAAGCCAAGATGAGCAGAGGGACTGAGTTTGTATTGGCGGCCGCAAATGCAGCGGCATTCTCGTAAGTGCTTGTTTTAGCTCGAGACGACGGTGCAATCCTGCAAGAAGTGCGTGCATCGAACTGTTTTGACGTTCCAAGAAGGTGGGCAGTTTCGCCCGTTTTCACCCGAAACCAGCGTAGTTTCCAGTCTTTGCTAGATTATTTGCCGGTAAACAGATTTCGTTGGAATTTCACCGGCAACGGGTTCCCAGATTTCGCTGGAATGTCACCGGCAGCCACTTTCGTTTACCAGACCGCCCGGTTTTAACAGAAATCTTACCCGAAACGGGTGATTCGCATCCCTGTTTACCGAACTTCACTCGAAGCCGACGCGATGGGAGGGGAAGCCGAGACGAGCCGGGGACTGGGTGTGTAATTATGGTGCCTAGAACACAACAAGGACGAGTCCCCACGCACCCTCTCTCCCTCGCATTGGGTTCGTAGGGAAAATGCGAGAGGGTCGTCTTGCTGACTCTTGTAGGAAACCGGTTTCTTTTTCCGTCAACGAGCAACGGCCGGCCAGGAACGGACGCTCAGTCTCGGCTTCTCGTTCCATGTGTGCGACCTGTATCTTCCAGAGCAGCTTGGTGTGCAGATGAAAAGAAAATATTTTTCAGTGACCTGTTTCTTCCGTCTCTTTGTCCGTCGGGCTTCAGAAGCATCCAGCGAGCGAAAAAGGCTTTGACAAAAATTTCTCAACGGCGGCAGATATTCCTTTCGCTCGTTCGTGGTTTTCGCTAAGCGCACGTGCTACTGACAGTGTGTATGTGTCCGCTTGGTGTACCCGCGGCGACGACATAGGAACGACATCGTGATCTGTGCCCGTAATTTCTCAACGGCGGTGGATGTTCGTTCCGCGCGTTCGTGGTTTTCGCTAAACGTGCTACGAAAGTATGTGTGTGTGTCCGTGTGGTGCACCTGCTCGGTTTTATTAGTTGAACTACCGTACATCTAGGAATTTATCTAGTGGCATATGGAGTACCTTGAAAGATATATTTTTTCGACGAAGGACTCGGTTGTTCCTATTTGGTCTGATTGCTTTTGTGTACAGCTGTGCAAATTGTTTCACTGGTATCGGCCCTGTTAAATAAATACGTGGAACCTTCAGGTCTATATAGACTGACCACTTAAATTGTAATGACCGTGTCCCACTAGAGCGACAGACAGAAACAAATGACAGCGACAAGCCTCAAGCTTGATTCTTTCGCGATTTGAGAGGCGTTGTAGCATAAAGGAGGCTATGGTCAAACACGAGCATCATGCACGCGAGGGTATCTTTGGCAGGCTTGCAATCGCTCGTGCTTACTTCACGAGCACCGTACGACTAAACGCCTTCCGAGGGTACCATCACGCGTGCTGCATGGGTCGGAGGCTTGTCGCTGTCTTTTGTCTCTGCCTGTCGCTCTAGTGGGACGCAGGCTTTACCGAATCGTCCAGCATCTGCTAAACATATACCACCCACGGTTCACAGGCTTCTTTCTAAGTGTCTTCCGTTGACGTCCAAAAGAAAAACACGGTAAGTTCCGGTGAATTGCGGCTTTACTGGAAGTGAAAAAATCCCATAATCCATTCAAATAATTTTTTTAGTGGAAATAAAATTCTGGTAAAAAGCTGGTGACATTCCGGTAAAAATGTCCCGAGACATTCCGATAAAAACTGGCGAAGTTCCGGTAAAAAAGTCCGGTGACATTATGATAAAAAATCCGGTGACATTCCCATAAATTTTGGCTTTACCGGAAGTGAAAAGTGTCCCAAAATCCAGTACAATAATAGTTTACTAGAAATGAAATTCCGGTTAAAAGTCTTTTCCAATAGGGCGTGGAATCACTCTGGTGAACTGCATGGATCAGTGACAATTGTTTACCTAAGCCCCCCTCCCCCCCACCTCCCTCCCTCACTTCCCTCTTCATTATCTTTTCGTGCGGTGTCAGTAAAGAAGCCGCCGCCGCGGCCGCTTCCGTGTGTATTCAAGTATTCAGATGCCGAGGGGCGGGTTCGTAACGCGCTTGCAATAAGCCCAATGAGGGAGGCGGATTTGCTCCTATAGTTTTGCCCCATGAGGAAATCCCAACACAACATCCGGCAGTTCCCGTCACCCAAGAAATGGTGGCGCTACATCGCATCCAGTCTTTCCAGTGCCTTCGTCACAATAATGCGGAAAAGGGGAAAGATTTTTTTGTTTTGTTTTACAACACCTTAGAAATATAGTTTTCTGAAAAGCTTACGATACGCATGCGTTAAATTACCCATAAATTTATATTGCAAGCAAAAATTCCACTATCATGCTACCCTTCTCTCTCAGTGTTGTCACTCACGAGATCAGAAGGGAAGGGAGGAGTATGAGTTTTCCCGCTTCCAGGACAACCTTCCTACATTTTAATGACGCTTCGGTGTTTCGTGAGCGATCCAGAGTCTACGCCCAATCGAAGTACTGCGGAAGGCGACGAGCGGGTGCTAGAGTGCTGAAGGCGGGGCATCAGGGTGAGACGCAGTGCCGTTTTCATCCTCTCAGTGACTACACCAAAACGCGTCTTTGACATCACACCATCGCGATGTCGCTGGTATTGGCAAAGCGCATGCGTGTGCATGAGAGCATTTATTCACCAACTAGGCACTAAATGTGGACTATGCACGAGGTGCAAACTATAGAAGGAAACGATTTTTTAACCACAATTTGCCTCTACGCACTAAACTCTGAGGGCGGGCTGTCATCCGGAATATACTCTAGCAATAGGCACCAGGGAGGAATAAATACAGGGTCTGAGTTTGTATTAAAAAGCTGTTGTTAACACGCTGAAGAAGGAGAGGTGAAGCACTTGCCTTCAAGTAAGCCTTGTTTGGAGACGTTGAATTGAACATGCAGGCCAAGAACGGAAGATGAACTTTTGGGTTTGGATAGTGGTGGAAAGCGCATCCCTGCGGGGCAGTGCTAAAGTTCAAAAATTGACCTACGGATTTAATGTAGGAAGAAACGCAAGCCTCACCCGTCATTTTATAGAGCGAGGTTTACCTGAAAGAGGTTTCCTAGGCATTCCTTCAATCCGTGTTCACAAGAGAAGTTGTATCGTTTTTTAGATGGGTCCCATCTCCTCTGTAATAATTAAATTATTACATTTGTCTCTACGTACTCTTGTCTCCTCGTTTTGACTGGTATATGGGAGATTTAATGTTTAATCGTGCAAAAAGCGGTCCATAATTTAAAAAAAAAATCAAGGGTGATCAGCAAAATCTTGATTAACAAGGACAAGAAACCGCTTTTGATGTGAGGTCTTCGTTGTCAAGAGCTCGACATCCGAAGGACCAAAGAGGGATTTTCAGACTTTGGCGATTCTCACAGGTGGCGCATTTGGATGTTTGTTTAGGCTGAGACATATTTCGCACACGGAAACGCAGTGCCTGTATTTTCAAACAACGATATGGAAGCTAAATAACAATAATAATTAATCTATTTCATAAATTATTTTGCAAAATAAAATACAAAACCTGAACCATTTGAGAAGCAATTCGCCTTTTCTGAATTACAATACAATTTGTTAAAATAAAGGTTATGGCACAAAAATTATATATCAAGAAATGGCTCACACAGATAACTATTCAACACGAACAATATCTTTATTGTAAGTTACATTTTCTCAGCAAAAACAACTTTGATTACGAGAGGAAACTCTAAAAGTTCACATGTCAACATACGTTTAGTCACAACGGATATTTCTAATTTTTTTTTTCTCTTTCCATGTGTACCGAACTCGGTAGGATCCATCACGGCACAAAAAGTACACTTATTCAAAACTTCTTAGCGCTCAGCCTTCTCTTGCTCTTGCGCTGCTTGTCAGTGGCGCTTTTCCATCCATTCATTGCTTAGCTGCACATACCATCCAGAACCTTAGACCCGCCTGATTTTTTCCCTGCTTGTCTTGGATATGCTGCGAAAGCTCCCAGCATTTCTTCTCTTTTTTTCTTTTTCTGTGCCCCGCGGTCTCCTTGTTGTATTGATACCCATATGATCACAGTGTGCATGATGAGTGCGTTTTGGTTTGTTGTGCTTACGCGGAGCCATGGGTGGTTTCGAGTGCGTTAAACAAACGATATTTGTGTGCTGCCATGTTTTCAGAATGATCAAAACAAGTTAACATTTCTTGAGGAATATGAAGGTAAGTTCTGTGGTTTAATTATAAGTTCTTATTGGCCCTGCATCTCCCGAGGTTGCGTGTAGCACCTTGAGTTATTTGTGCTCTTGGATTACAAGGAGATAACCTACTATAAGATACCCTCACAATAAGCTCCGGATTCCAACCACTACGTGTTCACCGGTGTGGTGGTACCTCGGGGGGGGTTCAAGGTTTCCTATGGGTTAGCCTAGCACGAGTCGCTCGGGTGCGCAGACCGCGCCGGCTGCGCCTGATAGAAAAGCCCGCCGTCCGAAGCCGCTGCGCTCGCTTCACCTTATGTGAACAGTGACGTCAGGTTGCGTCACGTTTTGACTGGTGCCGGAGGTGTCTCACACTGCGGCGGTGACATGTCATGCGATGTCTTTGGCGACGAACATTTGCATGTCATGTGAAGCCTTTTTGGCGATGGGAGGATGCTTATCGCCCACGCTAGCCATCCATTGACTGCTGTTTGATGTCGTGACTTCTACCCACGTTCGGCTGTCGCTATTCGTGAGCGACCTACCACCGGAACCCATTGGTGATAAATAGTTCAGCTAATTCAGCAGCTGGTGCTCCTGTTTGCCTCCTCCTCCTGGCGCCGAGCAAATGCAGCGGGCTGCTGGTCGCACAATCCGGGGTTCAATTTCAGCTGAGAGGCTTGGGTCTCTTTGGTAATTACGATTAATTGTGCTTCCGAGTTGCGAGTTGCGGCAGTGACGTGGCACTTCATTGTTACAACTCGGAACTAGCATGGGAGTTAAAATTAGCATCGGCTGTTATCTCCCAGTTACGGAATTTCAAAACTAACAGCAGAGAGAGCTGGTAAACAATTGAGTCCGAAACTGGTGGCAGGAAATAGTTTAAACGGTTAAGGCGTCGCCCCGTAATGGCGAAGGTTGCGGGTCCGATCCCCTCTCCTGTCCAAATTTTTCACCAGCTCTCTTTTCCTTTCCCTTACTTTAATAGAATATATTGAATATTAACGTTCAATCCTCTTCGTTCACAGTATATAGTATACATATAGTATGAATATGTATACTATATTCTTTCACAGCATAAATTATATATATATATATATATAATTTATGCGGTGAACGAATATAGTATACATATTCATAATGTAAGTATACTATATACTGTGAACGAAGAGGATTGAACGTTAATATTCAATATATTGTATTAAAGTAAGGGAAAGGAAAAGAGAGCTTCTTATCACAGCAAAAAAAGGCTTGTGGAGTTTTGGTCCTGGGCCAAGGGCCCATCTAGGAAAATTATTAAAGTCCGGGATAATTGAGCTGTTAATTATTTTTGCCCAATTAACTTTTTAGAGCGCAGCTCTTAGGGGCCTGTTTCCGGCTTGTGCGGCGTCGCCGTCGCCGTCGGCGTAACCAAGGTCATCTCAAGGTCACGGGACCCCCAAGGTGACCTCCACGTGACCCCCTGAAGGTCACGTAACCCCTCCAAGGTCACGTGACCCCGAGACCACGTGGCCCCCTCCCCAAGGTCACGTGACCCCCCGAGGTCACGTGACCCCTCCCGAGGTCACCCCAAGGTCACGTGACCTGGAGGGGTCACGTGACTCCCCGAGGTCACGTGACTCCTCTCAAGGCCATGTGACCCCCAAGGTAACCCCCAAGGTCACGTGACCCCTAGATCACGCCTCCCCGAAGTCGCGTGACCCCTCCTCCCCGAAGTCACGTGACTCCCCCTTCCCGAGGTCACGTGACCCCCCGGAGCATATTAAAGAATGAGGGAAGGAGTAGGGGTCTACCCTCCCCTCAGTACCCTTCACTCCTCTTCCTCAAGAGCTGCGCTCCAATTCGGCGTTACAGGGAGTTGTAAACGGCTTTCACTTTTTTAATATTGTGTTTAAGGGCATGTTTGAATTAGAAAATTGCTCGGCATCATTGAAAAACACTAATTCAACACATTGCAGAACGATAGAAGGCACGCAAAGCATTTTACAGCTTTCTGAAAAACCGCACAAATCGGACCGGTTTTTAAGTTTCGGTTAGCTATCGGAGCGCAACTCGGCCCCGGCGGCAACGCGCCTCGTGGAGAGATAGTGGAACCAACCTCTGCTGCGTTGTCATCGCGCGACGCAGCAGAATCTTGTTCGACTCTCTCCACGGGGTGCGGTGCCGCCGGGGCTGAGATGCACTTCGATAGCAAACGGAAGCTTAAAAACCGGTCGAATTTGTGCGGTTTTTCAGAAAGCCGTAAGATGCTTCGCGTGCGTGCCATCTATCGTTTCGCAATTTGTTGATTTAGACTTTTTTAATGATGCTGAGCAATTTTCTAATCTAAACCATACCCTTAAACACAATATTAAAAAGTTAATTACGAAAAATAATTAACAACTTAATAATCCCAGATTTTAATAATTTACCTAAATGGGCCTCTCGCCAGGACCAAAACTCTACAAGCATTTTTTCGTTAGGATGAGTAGTTTTCGCAGGAGCGATTTGGCCTGCGTTCTCTAAAACACCCCCCAATTGAAAAAACCAGCACAAGCTGGTCCCAGCATCCCAGCTTCATGCTGGGTTATTGCTCCAGCATGCCCAGCTTGCCGTGCTGGTCGAGCTGGTTGGATGCTGGGTCGTGTTGGGTGAATGCTGGGCAGATGCTGGGCCATGCTGGGTGAACTGCCCATGCTGGTTAGGCTGGTGTATTCCCCACCATTTTAACCAGTTTAAATTAATACACACGATAAACAAGCCAAACGCTTCAGAAGAACCAGCTCGGCATCTAATTTAATATTTTCCTATTTGCGATCTCCTCACATGAGCTCAGATGCTTCACATCCACCGCGCTGACATAGTACTAACCGGCGACAGTTCTTGGTGCAAAACAAACAATGCTATTAAAACTAGATTGCTTATCTCTCAACACGAAAAATACTAGACACACGCCAAAAACAAGCAATAACAATAAAAAATACTACACGGATGAGAAAAGCGAACCTGAGTCCCGCCCGTAATGGGGGCGAAGCGTCCTCTTGCGTAGTCGGCAGAGGCGAGAAAATCCGTGTGGCTTGGATGGCATTGGCGATACCCCTCGGCACCACCGTCATTCACGAGCACACAGATGTTCGAAGACATGAAACGACGCCTCAGTCGGGGCATCCGACTTCTTCCCGCGCTGAACGGACTGCCGCTCGCTGCCTCCTTAAAGGGGTCATGAAACGCTTTTCCAACTTTTTCCTGTTCAGCTTTCCTCCTCAACTCATAAATCGCGCATTCCACCAAACAGTTAAAGAAGACGAAAAGGGGAAGCCCCCTCTTGCTCGCACCCTCGTTTGTGTAATCCGGACACATCCATTCTCCCCCTAGAAGATTAGCCCGTCGCTCAAAATTCAGACAAACGTTGCTTTCCCCACCCCGTTCATTCCGAAGCTGACAATGCTGTTGAAGCTATGTGCTCGTTGGGCCAGCCACACTTGCCACGTGAGCGTGGCAAATGTGGCTGCAGAGAATGAAGTCAGGTGATGAAAGGGAGGCGGCTGATTGGTCCGGCAAGCGCGTAGCTTCCACCACAATGTCAGCTTAGGGGTGAAGGGAATAAGTGAGGTCCGGTTGCGTGTGACGTCAGTTTGGACCCGACGACGCGCTTTTGGGACCGCGGATGTATCACAGTGAAAAGGCAGAGAGGTTGCGAAGGGGAGGAGGTACGAAATAGTCCGCTCTGTTTTCAAATTTTCGCACTGAAAGTCACGCTTTTGACTTTCTACTTTTTTTCTTTTGGTTCACTGAACGATGTGCTATTAGTAAAATCCCAATCTAAAATGATTTATCCCAACCCAAAAATCGTTTCATGGGCCCTTTAAATCCCGCTTCGCTTGCACCGCCGTTCAAGTAGTGGCCAAACGACGCGCACATAGCCGTCCCTTCGAAAATGTGACCAAGATAGCCATACGAGTCTCAAATTCTCTGCTCCTACCGCTCACTCTCTCTCTTTTCTCGCACACAAAGGAAGCTCGCAGCGTTCCTGAAGCGCCCGGTCGTCTACCAAAAACGAGAGGACAAAGAAGAGGACGTGGCATCGTACCCACCCCAGCCGACCTTGGCGTGCCCGCTCCCGGCAATGCCAGTTCGACAAGCTCTCGTCGACCTTGGCGTGCCCGCTCCCAGCAACACCAGCTTGAACCAGCTTGGGCCAGATTCAAAACCAGCTTGAACCAGCATGACCAGCTTGAACCAGCTCAAGTACCAGCTTGCCCGTCTGCAGTGCCATCTCGAACCAGCTTGAACCAGCTTGCCAAGCTTGAGCCAGCTTCAGTGCCAGCTCAAACCAGCTTGCCCAGCTGCAGCGCCAGCTCGAACCAGCTTGAACCAGCTTGAACCAACTTCATTATTACCTAGACCAGCTCGAACCACCTCGAACCAGCTCAAACCAGCTCGAACCAGCTCGAACCAGCTTAAAAACCAGCTAAACTAGCTTGCCCAGCTTGATATCCTTGCTGGTTTTTCCAATAGGGCCATATATATATATATATGTGTGTGTGTGTGTGTGTGTGTGTGTGTGTGTGTGTGTGCGCGCGCGCGCTATATACATGAACGAACAGGGGAGAAAGTTATTATTCAATTAATTTATTTTTACAATTTATATTTAGGATTCCGTGTTTTCGGAGTTCATTTTCCATGAAATTCGTAGAGCGTTTTTCAGAGTTTTTTTCCCCCGAAAATTCGGAGTTCATAGGAATCTATTTTGTTTGATACCTAAATCTCTGAAATTCGGAGGTTAATTTCGCAGTCTTTTCTAGGAAAAATAAAAGAAGAATATCCAGGTGTAAACGCATGCTAAATAAAAAAAAAAAAAAAAAAAAAAAAAACTCGCTGATATCAATCAATATTTGTTGAGCTGGGTTTGGTGTTGGTGCCGTTGCCATTAGCAATACTAATTTGTCCACGGCAAACGTTGCACAGATGTGTGGCTTCAATAAATGTCGGTACCTTAAAATAAACTCCTGGAGGTAGTCGCTGGGAAGCACGTATTCAACCCATGTGCAATCCCGCGGTCGCGCAAGTTAGAGTGGCAAAGAATTTAATAGGGAAGTTTCCACTGCCCCTCTTCCCAATTTTATGCTATCTCTATGGTCCATAGCTTTTACTGTTACAAAAGCACAACCTAGTCTTCTTCATAAAACAAAAACAGTATGGCCCAAACTGGAAACCGATGCAGAGACTTTTTTCGTCACCCGAAAGTACAATGACATGTCGTCCTGAACCTTGACGAGATAGTCGGTAAGACCCCTTTAGTCAATGATCCGAGATATTAAAGATAACTGGGGTGCCGTTTTCCCGGCACCATTAACCCTGTGCGCTGATCAAACTTAATTGTGAAATACCGTATTTATTTTGTTCTTTTTTTGTACGAAAAGGGGGGGGGGGGGGGGGGGGGCAGCGGTACATTAAACTTTGGAATTTATTGAATAAACCTTAATGGACCAAAATTTTTTCGGCTGGTGCTTTTCGGCGTTTTTCGGATTGATCCGAAAACACGAAATCCTATTTACTTATCATAGTTATATGATATATATATATTATATATATATATATATATATATATATGTATATGTATATATATGTAAATTATTTATTTAATATAATATTATTTGCATAAGCAGTTCACCCTCCTCCGGTTACACCTACGCCGCAAAACACGTGAACGGGCGCCTAAGGATGCGCTCTAAAAAAAAAGAAGAACATTCGCATGGGCCGTGCGGAAGTAGTGTTCACCGAACTTAACGCCCGTATCCGATGGTCCGTTTTGGTCTGTTTTTGCGCTATTCTGGACGTGCCGGTCCCACAACCTGGTGTGATTTTGATCCCAGGTCAGAACCTAGCTTTGTGAAGACATTCCAGCTGCTGCAGTGGACTGTAATGAGGGGGGGATCGGTGGCCAAGTGAGCTAAAGCGCATACCCAGGTCGACGCGCGTGGAGCGAGAGTTCGTGCTGCAGAACGCAGAGATCCTGGGCTCGAGCCCCACCCCTGCCCGTTTCGATCTGGATGAGCATGTCGTACCGGCGTGCGGTCGTGTATCACTACTGCGTGAGCACGTTAAAACCCCAGGTTAGTAATCGTACTGCACTGGCAAAATTGCTCATCTACAGTGTAAACCAGTGTCGCCACATCCTGGCGGACCGACCTTGCGCTGTATAAATCACTAAACGTCCAATTTGACTTTGACTTTGCAGTGAACAAGTTAACTTCAAGTAGCCAGCTAATATATTAATATTCGGCTAACCGAGTGGCCGCATTAAGTTTGAAGAGCACTGTACATTCAATTACATAAAATATATACTAACGCAAGTACGCAAGAACGCTTATTCTGACCACAAACGGACGTTAAAATGGGTCTTAATCATTTCAATACATTTATCAATACAAAATCACAAAAGCATTATTATTACTTTTGAAAGTACCGAAATTACTTTTAACAGTTACTTTTTTCCCTCCCCTTTTACAGCGTCAGCTTTACTGAACTCGCACAAGGCGAGTGTCGTGCATGTTGCGTAAAACGAACGGTTTTTGGATCGTTTACGCGCGTTTATCGCAGGTAAATTTGGCACCGGGAAAGGGCAAGTGCAATGTGATACCCTCGCCCTTTCGCTTATGATAGTCGCGGTTGAGGCGCAGTGCGTTCGACCAATCGCGAGTGCGCTGGGAGTCATGTGATCGCGCTCCTCGCTATACCTGCTCTTTCTCGCTTCCAGCCGCCCGTTCCCTCGGCGCTGTAAGCCTTTGCGCCCAAGATTGGGGCGGCCGAGGCATAAGCTGCAGCAAGCACCGGCCGCTGAACGGCGTAAGAGGTGCGAACACTCCACCCGTGTTCTCAACGGCGTGCATGAACGCGAAGCGGCACGTAGAAGAGTGTGTTACCGATCGCGAAGTGTGGACAGGCTTGTGCGACTAAGCAATTTGTGCAGCGCGTCCGCGAGAACGTGTTTAATGCTAGCTGCTTCGTGTTTGATCTGTTGTGACTTACGCGAGACACCGCAAGACGCAACATCACGGGAATTTCTAGTCACTGATGAAGCAATATCAACAAAATATCGCACTACCTGACGCTGCCCCCTGGCCTCACGCCAATCGTTGGCACGCGCATTTCGTTTTTTAATCGCGCCCTTTGTTTGTGTGTGTTTCCTGCCAAGGAATCCTGGAACCGAGTGTACGACTGGAGGATTGTGTACCAAAATTAATAGACTAAGAACCTTAGTAGATTATTATTCGGTGATTCTTGTTCAATAGGGAGTTTTCGGGAACCGTTTTTGCGGATCCCACACGGTAGGATGGGCCCTCCGGTTCGCACAGCGCATGCGCTACAACAAAAGAGTCGCGCATGCGCAGTTCGTATCAAAGGGACCATCGCACCGTTTCAGATGTGCGAAAACGGTTCCCGAAAACACCCTAATTATGCACAATGCGAAAGACCCGTTTTCAAACAAGTCGAAAAATCTACCGTTCCGTAAATGAGCAGTCATTTGATATGTAAGGGCTACTTTTCAACTAGTGGCCAATTACAGTCCTTGTCAAGTAACTGAAGTGAATACTTTTAAAGCGAGAGTAATTATAATTATAATAAATTTAGTTTTTGAGTAACATGTATATGACTGTTCAGGTCTTAAGCTGAATCCAAGTGAAGTTCACAGGCTGAGGCTCAAAAAAGGCAGAGAAACAAACGTGATTGAAGTATCTTCTTCCTTTAGATTTGCATTAAAGTTATCATAACTGTGATAATTAAAAAAATGGCAATAATAACGTAGGGAAAGAGGAAGGCGGCACCCGCGAAACATACCGATGCTCTTCCGTAAGGGATGAGCTGCAGATTCATTATGATCGATAGTTCATTGTAAGAAGGGTAGAGCTGTTCCAACACAAACCGCTTGCTGTCGGGACAGTACGACTCGTAGAACACCTCGACATTCACTCTGGAACACATATTTTTACGTGCCTGCAAGTTCAAAAACACCAAACGCTTAGTTTAGTCATTGCTTTTTTGCGCAACTATTTTAGCAAATTGATGAGAGAAAATATTCGTTATCACCGGTTACATGCAGCATAGGTAATTATCAATTTGAACACTGGCGCAATACTATGTTTGTTTTTACCTCGACGCCAAATATAAGTTTCTTTTGACTGCAAGTATTTCGTTAAAGATATGAATTACGTTAATGTAAAGCAGACTTGCTATTGCAGACCCAACAACAGTGTAAAAAAAAAATGTGATTAAAACTATGTATCCGGTGAGTTTGATTTCTTAAAATTTATCAGGTGATTTGCCGGGGGAGTGGCCATCTGTGGAGACGCAAATGTTTTTGAAGCATCAGCAATCGGTACTAAAATAATGCGGGTGAGGTGGTTACGTTAAATGACACTATTCACACTATGTGAACTGGCGCTTGTACCAGATCTTCACGTGAAAAACAACACGATTTCTAGGCTTTGTTTGTTAGCTTAGCTTCAGCTATATATACCATTCCAGAAAAAAACCTCTGACCGGTGACTTAACTACACTCTAATAAGTACATTCTTACACATCTTGTCACACGGTACCACTCCAAAATTTCAGTTCGGCGTAGAGCAAGGTGCGAACCTTCACGAGCTGCTTGATAACCCAGTTGCAAACTTATCAAAATAGCTAATGTACATAAAACTGACTGTAAACAACAACAACAAATTGGGGCTAGGTGTTTTTTTTGTTTGTTTTTTTTTGCTGTAGTCGTTGATGCGTACTTCAGCTGTTTAGTATGTTATACCGCCAAGTCATTATGCCTTTTGTAAAAGTTGGGCAAGTCATTTCGACATGAGTGCGTTGTACGTCGAACTGAAGTTTTGGGGTGTATTATATGGGACAAAGGGTGCACTAATATACCCTTTTTTTCAGGGTGTCGAACCGGAACCGAACCGAACCGAAAACCGGAACCGAACCGGTATTTTTTTCCGGAACTGAACCCGAACCCGAACCGTTACATTGTTATCGCGATGAACCCGAACCGGAACTGAACCGGAAAAAAAAAATAACGGTTACCGGCTCATGTCAAAACGCTTCGGCCACGCGCTGCTGACAATGAATGTGCTATCAATGCCATTTGTTTAAGTGCCGTCAACTGACACACACCTCGCTTACATATTTTTCTTCTCCACTCAGTCTTAGGAATATAAACGCTGCATCTATGAATCTTGACAAACGTTGCACCCATGAATCTTGTCATAGGAACCAGTATTGCGCTGGTCACGGCTTGCACGGAAAAAAAATTAAAAGGCTGTGCAAAAAAAAAAAAAAAAATCGCGTCACGGGATTTCATTTTCCTACAATCTCGTAGATCCTAAATGCTGCTGTGTGCTCATTTCATAACACGTTTCTAGAACGCGCGAGTTCTTGAAGCTTGCTCCCATCGGAATGAGAAAAGAAAAGGCTGTGGAGTTTGATAATGTTTGAAGGAGAGAAAGAAATTTTATTTACAGTTGAAATGAGCATTCAGGAATTATATCTGCTCTTCGCTGCCCCAACCACCGGCCAGAGTATATCGAGCTATGAAGTGTCAAGCTTTACATGCCGTATTTTTTCGTACCGGAAACTCGATAAATGCGGAAAAAAGAAAAAAACATGGATACGAACCCTAGTCGCTCGCGGAGATGCGAAGCTGCGCGCACTTTCGAATTTGACAAAGGATCTGCCGAGCTTCTGTTGCTTCCGTCGCCTGCCCAGCGTAGTCATGGGACTCAAGCGGGCGCGCGCGCTCAAACCAACGCTCAGCAGACGCTGGAGTTAGCGCCCGTGACAGACAGCCGTCGGTCCCTTTGAGTGCACATAAAGAAACCATTCCTGGTAGAAATCCCTGAGCCTTACACTACGATGTATCCCGTTTCGTATGTGCTGATTTCAGATGTTTTATTTGTAATTTATTTTGATGTTGCAATTTGTCATTTACAATTTCCGAACCGGTTCGCGAACCGGTTCAGCGCCCCGAACCGGTTGGCGAACCGGTTCGCGGATCGAATTAATCGAACCGGAACTGAACCGGAACAAAATAAATTTACCTGAAACTGAACCGTAACCGAACCCGTATTTTTTTGGGTTCGACACACTGCTTTTTTTATTCTTAGAGTGTAGCATGCGCCACGGCTCAGATAAGCTTCATCGCCGCCATGCTGTGCCGAGAAGCTGCCGCAAGGAACCACTCCGCGCGGTGTCGCGAGAGCTAAATTTCAAAAAATGTTTTCTCCATTAAAAAAAAAATATAACTTTCTTTAAATTTTATAAATGACAAGTTCATATGGCGCTCTATCGCTTCAGTGGTCTGGCATATTTGTACTTGGACCACCTCATTGGGAAATTTTCACTTTATTTTAAACCAAACTTTTGAGCAACTTTACGTTTCAATATAACAAAAACCTTTCGTTTTAACGGTAGGAAGCTATTTCATAGAAAACGTATATCTACAATAGATGCGAAAAACACTCCTAGCATGGCTATACAGACTCTCGAATTTAAACAAAAAAATCTCGGAAACGGCACAATTTCAGCATTTTGTCTTCAATTACAAAAGAAGCATAATAACCACTATATTATTTAAAATCGGCCATCTGAAGCAATAATGCAAGTAGAATAGGACAGAAAAACCTGCGCGTTGATAGCTAAAGATCTATACTTTGGGCAATTTTTTTTACTTGTGCTTAGTTTCGCGCCTCTTCGGGAATTTCAAACAGCGCTAACGCGGCCAGACTATTTTTGTGGACGAAAAGATTAAGGCAAGTGACTATTCAACACATAAGGATCCCCTGTGATTTTTTTCGAAAGAATCGGTGATGGTCGAGCGTCACGCCTGGGACGTTTGGCAAGCAATGACCCAATGCTTTTGTGTGTAACCCCACCCATTATGTAATGCGCCTAACGGGGTCTTTACGGTAATAAAATGAAATGAAAAATGAAATTAAATTAGCTGCGCTCTAAGAGAAACATTCGAACATCATCTAAGGAGAATCGAACCTAGAACCCTAAGGTTTTCAGCCGGACGCTCGACCACAATGTAAAGAAAACATATTCTTTTTTTCCGCAAAATTTAGCGGGGAAAATTTTCCGCCAAATATAAGCGCAAACTTTTTCCACTGACTTTAGCACGAACATTTTTGCGCTAAATTTAGAAGAATTTTTTTTCACCAAATTTAACGGGGAAATTTTTCGGTAAATTTTTTTCCGCTAAATTTTGCGGAGTTGTTTCCGCTAAATTTAGCGTGGAAATTTTTCCACAAAATTTATCGGGGAGATTTCTCCGCTAAATTTAGCGTGGAAAGTTCTCCGGTAAATTTAGCGGGGAGTTTTCCGCTAAACAAGCGGGGAATTTTTTCAGCTAAATTTAGCGCGGAAATTTTCTGCTACATTTAGCGGGAACTGTCCCTATAATTCAACGCGCGGTGACGTCAGGAGTGACCCTTATGACGTCATTAGGGGAAACGTCCCATAATGCAACGCGCGGTTACGCCGACACCGACAGCGACGGCGCTCAAGCCGGAAGCGGGCGCCTAAGAGCTGCGCTCTAAAGCAGTTTGCATATAGATTCGAACGCGAGTCACCGTGAGATACGTGCTTAGAGTGCCGCATGGCGAGGAGTTCAAGGAGAAAACTTGGCACGTGGCGTTCGAACTACAGATATTGCGATGACTCTTATTTGCAGACTGTCTTTTATATGATGTATGAGCAGTGGGACCCCAGCTTGAGGGAACTATGTCCCTCGGGGGAGGATACCACTCAGTATGAGTATAAATTACATAAACTTCAATTGCAGATAAACATAAAAGAACATTTAGAAAATATAATGATGAAGCATTGCCTTATGTTGATTGAGTTCCTAAACTATCAATGCAGATGGTGCCATTATATTCATTCTCCAAAATGAAAAAGGTTATCCAATCTACCTGTGATTCAACATTATAGGAATAATGCCGCTCACTGAAAGGTAGAACGTTAAAGGGATTTTAGCTGACATTTCAAAGCATTAGAGTATTTACCTGTCACTTTACCCTCCCTGGTATATCCCTTCTCCGAGGGTGCCACTAATTAATCAACGTTTCAATACAGACTTTGCCAAGGGAAGTTTTTATTAATTGAGCAATTGAGATTTTAGTTCACGAGGCTTCAAGGCTAAAGTGCGGTGTCGGTGTTTTCTACCCAGGCGCCAGGACGTCGGGCTTCCTGGCGCAACTAATTTCTGTATCTATTGTAGATATTATAAAGCCAAATGCAGTTCGGTTATCTATGCCCCTCAATTTAACTATTGAGTCGTGACTCCGTGGTACGAAGCCAGCTTACCGTCTTAAAAAGAAATGTAAATCAGCTGATCGTGTCCGCCTGCTTTGTGCGGAGGCTAGGTCTAACTGTAATTAAATTGCGCCTGGTGATTGTTCGCAACAAACGTCTCCAACATATACTGAACAAGTATTCAGCTGGCCTATTCTAGGTTGGCTGTCACAATAGCTCTAAAATAATTAATACCAGAATTGTATACGCGTTCCTTTTGTATAAGATACAAAATATCTCGAGGTGCCTAGGTGTAATGGCAATTTAAGAAGTTAACGTAGGAGATTCTGAAAAATGCACATCTCCGCGATTTCATAATCCTCCTGCGGTGATTTTTTGAACATACTGTGGCGCCCTCTCTCGAGTAGTACAAGACTACAAGCTCACTTGATCGGGCCTCATAGTATTTGCAACACCTTCGTTGAGATTTTCTTTTTTTTTTGTGTAGTGCTGAAGAATGAAAAAAAAAAACGCCCTGGACGTCCGAAATCAGCTAGATTCAACGCCGCAAGACAATCGAAGCTGGCAGACTCATGCCACTACCCCTAGGGTACACGTTTTGTATCTCTGTGGTGTGACGTTGAAAGATCAGGGGGGGGGGGGGGGGGCGCTATGTTCGACATCTGTGTCGTTTCTCTTAAAAAAAAAAAAAAACGGAAGTGACGATATCGCGTCTCAGTAATTACAGGCTCAAATGACGAAAGTTCACTTTTTTGTCATTTGGGCCTCTAACCAATCCGACGTGATATCGTCATTTCAGCCACTTCCGTTTCTTTTTAAGAGAAACGAAACATTTGTCGAACATAGCCCCTCTGATGGCTCGACATTTTTATTTCTCCCGTTTTTCCTTAGGTGTGATAGGGCGTTTCTTGGTTGACGCTCTTTTCGTTTCAGCTTTTTTTTTATTTATTTATTTATTTACAATACCCTCAGGGCCATAAGGCGTCACCGGTGCTGCGACGGCGTTAAATAATTCTTTTCTTTGTTTCTTTTGTATATTTCTTGTTATCGCATTCTGCACCAGAAAAGGCGCGCTCTAAATGGGTTACAGTTTGAGACGCTCCAGTTTGTACTACCCAAAACAAATCCTAACACTTCCTATTCCCCAGCGCCTCCTGGGCAACGCCGGAGGCCTGTTGCAAAAGAAAGAGAAGCGCACGTTCTGCAAAAAGTAAAAAAGCGCCTTGGCAGACCAAGGTAACGGGTCAAAGACGATGTGATGTTGCTAACAAGCTGCTAAGCGAAAAACTAAAATCTATTTTAGTTCAGTTTAAATGCGTTCCAATTTTTTTCTTGAAATACTTATGGCTCACCGATTGGCAATAGCAGTCACAGAAACGTACAGATGGCAGATGAGATGAAGTGGGACGTGCAGAAATAACAAAAAAGAAAAAAATTAAAAACGAAGTCGGCAAGCGAGCGAGCTTCATCATTGCGAAAGGCTGGTGAGCGGAGTTAGGCATCCTTACCTGAACGCGTAGTAGAGCAGTGATAGCCATGAGGACGACAAGATACATTGTAGAGCTCTGATGACCACTGGTGAAGACTCCGAATTTCCGGCTTCTGTAGCCGACCTGTTAAACGGAAAATGTATGAAGTAGAAGCGAAAAGCCGCTCCTTTTATGACCACGCCGCCATCGTACCGTGACTCCGTGATGTTCATGCGCCTAAGTTTGTAAGAACTTCCAACTGACGATCGTGACCACGTGGGTTTTGAGGCTTAACGTTTGCAACAGAAGGTGCGAGGATATGGCGTAAGCATCTCTACGCTCTCCGCGTTGATCTCCTCCTATCCTCCTGATCCCACGAAAACCCGCACATGTTTAGGCGCAACAGCCTGTGCAGGGGAGTGTATTTTCCCTTTATATTTATCACATATACCAAATTTATCCTTAGGCGCGGCGCCTAAATGAAAATAGAAGTGAAAGTGCTCGCTAAACTGCTCAATCGGATTCTCTTCTCCAAAGTGTCCGCTCACTCTCTCTCAATATCTAGGAACTCTACTTGACGGATCACAACGATGCTTGCCTCTTGACTCGGAAAAAAACTGGCCAGGTGTTTCGGAAACGGAACATGTTAAAAAACGTTTGTTGGCGCGTTTCCTTCGTAATTATTTATTGTTGCAGAGGATAGCTCTGCTGGCTGTTTTCGATTATGTATAAGAGTCAAGATTTGCAGAATGAGTAATATTTAAATTAAATGTCAGTTAAATTACAAATTCAGAGAGAGATCAAAATTATTTTGGAATGTGTTTTGTGCAAAAACTCAAGCCGACAAAAATATAGCATTTCGGTTACGGTTATCGTATCCTGTTAGTATCGGTTTTGTTTCGGTTTTTTTACGGTTTTAATTTTTACGGTTTCGGTTAACGGTTACACGTTCCTAAAAACCGGTTCCATTGAGTTTTTCCAGCAGTTTGTTTTATTAAAATGTTAGACAGCCGTTTTATAATAAACGGTTTAAAGCAGTACCATATATACCACAACGGGGTAATCACAAGAACAAGAACTTAAAAACGGCTTAGTACTTCTAGTTGGTCAAAAGTTGCACACGTTTCTAGCTCAAACACTTGTTCATTACATATATTTGCATTAAATAATTCGATATTCAAGCACACATGTTACCCCGTCTACTCGGGGAACATCACATTTGATGTAATAAAAATAAAAATAAACATCGCTACTTTGTTGTTCGCCGACGTTGGTAAACAATCCTCAGAAACTGCAAACTTAGTGCTGGAAGAACCATTCGCCCCTTCTCGTCGCCATAGTTAGTTGCAACCTAAGATACACAGAAGAGGCTTCACCCACACTGAAGGAAGGAGCAGCACTATAGCCCTCGTCTGGTAAATTACTGCTAGGCGGAATAAACTAATAATATTGTGAGTTCGGCTAGTTGGTGAAAGTAAAACGTAATGTAAATGCAATAGCGAAAAACAAGGGAAGCTAAGGAGCCGTACGAACAACACAGAAAGCTGCAAAAATATGTCCTGTGCTGTTCGTTCCTCTCCCTGGTCTTCGTTGTTGTGCGGTGTTCTCGTTGGTCGATTTTGTGACGCTAGTAAAAATGTGCACTTATATAGTAGCGGCATTTTTCTATGTGGTTTGGTGGCGGAAATTCTTCTACACGTATGTTGCATCCAGTGATGTCACGAACTTTATTAGAACCGGGTTTTTACACCGAACCTCAAGGTTCGACTGGCTCTACGAACCATTCGACCTTTAAACCAAGTTCTAAATGGTTCAACTTTGTGGACAGTCTCGTTAGACTTTGATACAAGCATGTCTCTAGGTATAAAGAGAATGTTTTTGACAGAATACGTTTTTCTTTTCTTTCTTTTTTATAAATATCTATAGTCGGTGACAGGTCAAGGACGAAGTAAAACCTCCTCCCCCCTTTTTCTGCCTTTAAGAGCGAATGCTGGAGAGGAGGCGATCTCCGCTCCTGCGTTTGCTCTGCTAAAGTGGAGAGAGGTGAGTAGAGCTTCCAATTCGTTCTTCATGTGTCACCGAATATAGTTGCAATCAACGGAACATATTTCTAATAACTTAAAGGTTAGGAACATAATTTACTCTTGCTATAGTGCCAAAACAAACAAACAGTTCTGCCCTTACTAAAAATAGAATGTTTGAATTGGTCATGTGGTAGCCACAATTCAATCCAAAGCCTACTGAGCCAGCCCCTAGCGCATGCGCATAACAGTCAAACCCTAGTCAAACTTCCTCCAACTGTTTCATAAAAGGTCAAAAACGTCAAGCCGGGCTGAACTCGAACCTCAACCTGTTCGCGACATACCTATACAGTTGCCTAATACCTAGTCTCAGCGCACATATGGCATTAAAGGGGCCAAGCAAGGATATTTTTACTGGTTTTCAATTTGCACCGAACCGGAGCGCATAGAACATAGTAACTTAATGAAACTTTTCTCTTCTCGATTTTTGCTTCATTTTAAAAGTTATAGGCAAATCAAAATTACAAAAACAGGCAAAAAATAACCTCCTTCATGACGTCCTTGGTTGCTTGAATTTCCGTGAGCTAGAGAAGGGGTAGTGAGCTCAAGGAGCACTCACGGCTGCCGGATTCCGTGTCGACGGCTCGAGAGGGCGCCTCTAACGCATGTTCTCGATAGGCTGTATAAAGCGGGCATCTAGGGCGGCTCGCACTGTATTTTCTGTGCGATTAAACACTAATTCGGCATGGCACTTCATTGGCCACAAACGACAGCAATTACGGGGTGAAGATCAGTTCAGAACGGGAGCCACTTCGCGCTCCCATACCGCCAAAGGGCTAAAGCTGCTCGCCGAAGGCCTTCGGAACGCTCGAAACCGGTCGGATCCTCTACTGCAGCGCACTCCGCGCACATCCGGGACCTTTCTACGCTCGCTGCTTGTTGGTGCATGATCCCACTACACCTTTCTAGTATGCGCCGCCTTTTCCAGCGCTTGGTGGCGGGTATGTCGACGGGTCATTTCTTGTTTCCGTACTTTATAAACTGCATTTGTTTCTTTTCTTATATAAAATAACGAAGAAAAACTACTCTTATAAATGATTGAAACGGCTCGCGTCACTTATATTTTGTATTTCGACTAAAAAGAGCCTTTTAGCGGCTCTGACCTGTAGAAAGGCCGGCCTGTTAAAGAAGGGTGAAACGCCCAAATAAACATTCAAGTATGAGCTTAGACATGACTTTCGACACATTGTTATTCGTGCCTCGTATTAGAGAGGTTGAAGAAGCAGGGGTTGAGCTCCAACAATATACACTAGAGCCGCTGCCTGGTTTGTCAAGTGGTTAACGTGCAATATGGTCTTGCAGAAAAGAAGTGTGTGCCGCCATGATCTTCCCAAGGGCTGCACGTTGCACGTTCCTCGTGCATCGACGCACCTTGTGCTACTTTTAAAACATAAAGGGGCTTTAGTGTAAGTAATCGGAAAGCGCGCGAAGTGGCGAGGTCCCTGGGTGCTTTGTCAGTGGTGTATGTCCATGCATTGCGCCACGTGACAATAGCAACAAACAAGAAATTATCTGCATAAAAGAAGAAAAAAATTCGAGTCGATATCAACTAAGAATTAGGTGAAAACTGCTGCTGTTTTTTTGCGATTTAGTCAAGCTTGATAAAGAAACCGAGCAGGTTTCGAAACATCGGGCTGAACCGTTTTTTGGATTTTGGTTGGAGCTCTTCCGTCTAAACCTAATTCATGAACCTGCCATCTGGCCTACACGAATGCCGTTCATCACATTCTATACACGTCATTGTTTACAAGAATCGCACTCTACATGTGTTTGGTCAACACCCAGCACGCACATGCCCACCGCTTTTGAAAGCGAACAAAGTACGCGCCAAACGCACGAACGCTTAAAATGTCACCGACCAAGAGCGCTTTTCTAGAATGGTCTGTAGATATCTTGGTGAGTTACTTACGCACAAAGTAGCATATGCATGCTAAAAAAAATCTGTTACACGCGCTGGCGTCTACAATACTAACTGTTCTAAAGAAAACCTAAAACAAATGGCACCTTCCTCCAGGCAACGCGAGCATGTGTGGCACCTGTACCCACAGTCCGAGCATTCTCCGTGATGCTTTGGTAATTTAAAAAAAAAAAAAATGTAATGCTTGACTCTTCAACATTTCTTCGCCAGCATAACTGCTTGCTTCTGATTGAAGAACAACAGATTTGCTAGTGATTTCACGAAACTAGCAAGCCGCGGCTTGAGCGTACCCTGTTCCAAAAACCATTTTTTTTTCAAAATCCCAACTGCTGCAATTTTTTTCTTCTTTTTCATACTTCAGCCCGTAGGCCAAAGTCATGCTTCGCGGAACTAGATATTATTTTAAACTTCAGATAGCACGAACGCCCCTGTTTTCTCGCTGTTTGGCGCGAGGAAGTCGGGCGCGAGCTTACCAGATTGCCGGCCGCGCCACTCGCTGCCCGACGGCGAAGTCACCTTTGGACGGCGGGGAAAACTGGGGAAAACCTGGGGTGAAGGATGTATTCGTTCTGACAGCGAACAAAATATAACTTTTTTAATAAACTAAAGTGAATCTAGAGGAACGAGGTAGCATTTCGTAATCAGAAAGCCATCCACATTCAGATAATGCCCTTAGAATAGGTAACTGAAAAAATCGGCGGAGGGGCTGAGGGGGCACGACCGATTTGTGTGACGCGGCCAGGGGTTGGTGCCACAACATTGACAATCGGGTGGCTGGGTCGCCGGTGAATTCTATGTAGGACGTGGCGTGATGGCAGTTAATACGTCTGCCCCTGCCGGATGAGTGCGGCATTCGCGCGGCTGAGATGGGCGGGACGAGGGGACAGCGTTTGGCGGTTCCTACTGTATTCTTGCAGCAGTGTGCGGTGGTCGTGTTTATCGAGGGCTCTGTGTGGTTTGGAAGAGTATGAACTAGACCAGCTATTGGAGGGTCCGAGAACTGGAACTCGGTCACCGCATTGGCTTTTGCATTGCCCTCCATTGAAGCAAGGCCTGGCGCCCACACTAAACGATGGTAGGGGTGTTGATGCATTATAGGGGTGAGCAAGTTGCGAGTGTAAACATTAATAAATCTTCAACTTAGAAACTCTAACCAAGCTTTATTAAAAAGAAAAATCCCGACGTTTCGGAACCAACTCGGTCCCTTGACCACGGGTGACTGTTTTTGTCCGGCGGAACGGCCTGCCCACGAACCCGAGCACCCCCGGGTGTTTTCCGGATTATCCCTCTTAACCCCGAAACGTAGCTGCTGGGAAGGGTCCCCGTCGACCGGTTTATGTTGCCACGTGTGCATCGAATGTGCCACGACTCCAACAGGAGGCGCCTCCGCCAGTTTTTCTCCGTTCCGAGGATGGAGCTGTTGTCAAGGTCGATGGAGTGGTTCGTCTTCTCGACGTGTTCGGCCAGCGCGCTTCCCTCCACATTTTTCTTCGCGATGTCGTAGCGGTGGCGCCGCAGGCGCTTTGGATAGTTTTTCGTTTCCCCAACGTAGGACGCGGGGCAGTCACCGCAGGGAATTTTATGATCCAGTCCCTGTGCCCTCTCCCTCGGGGGGCGATCCTTTGGCAGGGGGAGAAGGCCGCCGATGGTCGAGACTGGCTTGTGTGATACCGCTATGCCGTACTGTCGCAGTACTCGGGCGAGAACCTCGCTTGTGCCCTTGATGTAGGGTACACACACGCGGGTGGAGGGAGGGGGGGCGTCTTGGTTTGAAGGGGTGCGTCGAATTTTTTCGATCGTACTTTTTACAAATCCAGCTGGGTAGCCATTCTTCCGCAGGTCTTGTTTGATCGTTTCTATCTCTTTTCGAAGGGTCTCCTCTGATGTGCAGACCGTGATCACCCGTCTGACGAGTGCCGAAGCCACGGAAGACTTATGTGTCCTAGGGTGGCTTGAGGAAAAGTCCAGGTATCGGCCTGTGTGTGTCGGCTTCCTATACACACGGAAGTCCATGCGGCCGGACTTTCTCACTGCACAGACGTCTAGGAAAGGGAGACAGCCATCTGATTCGTGCTCAATCGTGAATTAAATCGCTGGCTCGATGGAGTTGAGATGTGTGTGGAGACGGTCGATTTCACTGGTCTTTACAACACAAAAGCAGTCATCGACATACCGCAGGAAACACACAGGTCCTGGGGAGAAAATGTCCAGGGCTTTTCTCTCGATCGCCTCCATTACGAGGTTTGCCACAGTGACGGATTTGTAAAAAAATTCGACGCACCCCTTCAACCCAAGACGCCCCCCCTCCCTCCACCCGCGTGTGTGTACCCTACATCAAGGGCACAAGCGAGGTTCTCGCCCGAGTACTGCGACAGTACGGCATAGCGGTATCACACAAGCCAGTCTCGACTATCGGCGGCCTTCTCTCCCTGCCAAAGGATCGCCCCCCGAGGGAGAGGGCACAGGGACTGGTTTATAAAATTCCCTGCGGTGACTGCCCCGCGACGTACGTTGGGGAAACGAAAAACTATCCAGAGCGCCTGCGGCGCCACCGCTACGACATCGCGAAGAAAAATGTGGAGGGAAGCGCGCTGGCCGAACACGTCGAGAAGACGAACCACTCCATCGACCTTGACAACAGCTCCATCCTCGGAACGGAGAAAAACTGGCGGAGGCGCCTCCTGTTGGAGTCGTGGTACATTCGATGCACACGTGGCAACATAAACCGGTCGACGGGGACCCCTCCCAGCAGCTACGTTTCGGGGTTAAGAGGGATAATCCGGAAAACACTCGGGGGTGTTCGGGTTCGTGGGCAGGCCGTTCCGCGGGACAAAAACAGTCACCAGTGATCAAGGGACCGAGTTGGTTCCGAAACGTCGGGATTTTTGCTTTTTAAATAAAGCTTGGTTAGAGTTTCTAAGTTGAAGATTTATTAATCATTCCTAACCAGACGGATGTCCGTCGAAAATGTTTACATTTAAGTGTAAACATTGACTTTGTTTTGAAGGTAGCTGCGGAGTGCATTTTGCGAGTCTCAAAATATAAAGGTTGGGTGGTGTGCGTGGGGTTCGGTGCAAGCATGCTCGATTGCTATGGCAATGACGTGTTCCTCGAAGTCATCGATGCCGGGTTGGTTAGTGTATCGTAAAGCATGTTCGTGGTTGTTGGAGAGGTAGACCGTCGTTCGGGTGTTGCTGTCGGTTTGGAGGCTCGCATCTGTGAAGTAGACGGGAGCTCCTTCTTGTTTTACCGTGAGTACTCGCTGTGTAAGTGCTCGTGCTGTGAGTTCTCGGCGCTTTTTGTTTCTGTCTGGGTCCATGTTTCTTCGGATAGGCTCTACCTGGATGTTGGGAACAATGTTCCACGGGGGTGGTTCTGGGGGATGTCTGGCAGGATGGAGGTGTCGTAGTCTCTGAGGGTCAGCATGTGTCTGCCCTGCTTGCACGTTTTCAAGGGCTGTAACTGGGGGGCTAAGAGCAGCGGTATGAGCTCGTCTAGTGCGTTGTATGTTCCCGTGCCTATGACTTGCATTGTCAAGGCATACTGTGAGACCCCCAGCGCGAGGCGGTAGGTTTTCCGAGAGCTCTTTCTATTGCCTGGAGCTGTGAGGCAGTGGGCTGCTAATAGGGAAGCATATATAGAATTTAGGAGGTGATGAAAGATTTGATTATTTTGAAGATGCGGTTTTCACGGAGGCCTGTGTTTTTTTTTTAATATTCTGCTAATTACATGTGTAATTTGTTGGATTCGAGTGTGTAGTTTGACTAACATACCGTGTTTCCTGCCTTTTTGTTGTATAGCGAGGCGAAGGACTTCAAATGTAGGCTTGTGTGGGACGGGCTGTCTCTTAATAGTTGTGTTGATGAGGCACCGCTCTGTAACAGCTCCCCGTCGGTTGAAAACGGCGAGAAGCTCCGACTTGTCCGGGACCAGGGTGACGCCCAGGGAGGCTGCGTAGTCGAAGACCCTATCGCTACCAGCCTGCGAGGCACCCTCCTGTTCCCCGGGCGAGCCGGTGTTCGTCCAGAGGGTAACATCGTCAGCGTAAACTGAGCGGAAGAGGTTTGGGATTGCGTTCAGTTGTTCGGGAAAATTGAGCCTGGCTTGATTGAACAGAGTCGGGGATAAAACCTAGCCCTGTGTGGTGCCTCCATTGAGGTAAAGGGGATTTCAGTTGTGTCCTGGTATATGGAAGGCGGACGATCTGTTGATGAGGAAGCCTACGGTGTAATATATATGCTTATGCCGCAATTAGTCGTGGCAAAGTTCGTTAATATGATTCCGCGGTTTCCGCAGTAAAAGGCTTTGCGAATGTCTAAGGCTAAAATATATTGTTGTTGGGCTGACCTGGGCTGTTCAAGTATGTCATGGTGTAAACTAATGTATGTGTTCTCTGTATGTAGACATGTGAAAAAAACCATGGGTGACTTCACGTGTCCTTGGAATAATTAAAAAATGAAGGCGAGCGTTTGTTAGATTTAAAAAAAAAAAGTAACAACCACTTAGAGAAACTTGCTGAAGTAACTCGGGAATACAAGTTGAATATAAAAAGTGCCAAGGAAAATTGTTTTGTAGACTAAATGATAGGATGAAAACAAATTCTAAAATGTTTTGGCAATACTTCAAGGGATGCGGCACCAATTTTGCAGGAATAAACGAAATTACCTATAATCAGCAGGTAATTGTAGATGATGCAGAAAAAGCTTCGTGTCTAAATAATTATTTTCAATCTGTTTTCTTACCCAAATACGACTGTAATTGTTTTTCACCCGTGAGCACTGTCCCAATAATGCAGCCAGTGGAACTAGGGAACTAAGCGTGAGTGGTATCGAAGTGCTACTAAAGAGTATTGACGAAAATAAGGCTAATGGCCCAGACGGCATATCTCCTCGTGTGCTTAAGCGCTGTGCTCATCCGATTTGAGTCTATCTTTATTTAATTTAAGCCAAGTTGCTATCTGTGGGTCTGTTGCCAAACGACTGGAAGACCGCTCACATAGTCCCTATTTACAAAGGTGGTTCTAGGAAAGATGTTGAAAACTACAGGCCTATTTCATTAACCTCCATCTCATGCAAGGTCATAGAACATATTTTATACACTGAAATAGTAAATCATATGACAAAAAACAATCTATTATCTAAACAACAGCACGGTTTCCGTAAAGGCTTATCTTGCACCACGCAACTTGTCGAATTTTATCATGACTTGTCATCTGATGTTGATGAGGGAGGCCAAACAGATTGTATATTCCTAGATTTTCGCAAGGCTTTCGATACTGTTTCGCATTCACTTCTTCTAAATAAACTTAAGATGTTAAATATAGACTTAACGATATTAAGATGGATTGAAAATTATTTGCTAGAGCGTTGTCAGTGTGTATTAGAGAATGGTAAAAGTTCGACATACGTTAATGTTACATCGGGAGTCCCACAGGGCTCTGTCTTAGGGCCGCTTTTGTTCTTAATATATATCAATGATATTTCCTTGGGTATTTCATCTTGTGTTCGGTTGTTTGCCGATGATTGTGTGTTGTACAGAAAAATCAGTAACAAAAATGATGCCACCCAGTTACAAATAGATTTAGAATGCATTATTACGTGGTGCTCTACTTGGAAAATGACTTTAAATCCCAAAAAGTGTGTGCATTTATGTTTTACTAAAAAGAAGAAGAAAATTGAAACCCAATATTATATAAATAACAATATCGTAAACAAGGACTCCAACTATAAATACTTAGGTGTCACGTTATCAACTGACTGTTCGTGGAATTCACATGTGGATGACGTGATTGTAAAGGCTGGCAGGGCGCTGAACTTTATTCAACGAAGCCTGAAATGTTCACTCCCTAACTTAAAGGAAACTGCATATTTAACATGTGTTAGGCCAATTTTGGAATATGCCTGTGCCGTCTGGGACCTGGAACAAAAAACATTAATAAACAAACTTGAAAAAATACAAAATAGAGCTGCTAGGTTTACCATGATGGAACTTAACCTGAGACTGGGGTAGAAACAGAAACTTAAAAGTAGAAGGGACAGAGACAAGTGAAGAAGAGAACGTCTCAAACGCAGCTAAAATATTTATTTAGTCCCA